CCATTTCTCCGAGAGATAGGCTGCAGCTCTGGGTTAATACATTTTTGCTAAAGCAAAAGGAAAACTCAGGTAGCGTAACCGCTACCTTTCGTGATCAAATATAGATAGACAGCGCTGGGCTGCTTCATTTCTTGATTGGTGTAATTGGGTGTCAAAGCTCAAGGTGAAGGTCTTATCATCCAACTTTGTGGCAATGTCAATGCAAAGAAGATAGTCAGCAGAAGCAAAAGCAGAAGCAAAAGCAAAAGCAAAGGCAGAAGCAAAAAGCAAAAGCAAAAGCAGAAGGAAAAGCAACAAGCAAAAGCAGTAGGGAAAAAAACGCGAAAAAAAATCAGAAAACCATGAAAATAGGTGTTCCCCCCCAAAAGGGTCTGGGCTCGAGGCTTGGAAAAGGTTTCGTAGTTAGACAACCAAGTAAATTAGGTAAGTTGGATAGACTAGATAATAATAGATAGGCAAGCAAATAGAGAGACCTGAGAATGGAGGAGCGACAACCACCCTCTCAAGCAGACCGCAGACATAGTGCGTCAACGTATATCCTTTCCAACTAGTTCGGGGGATGTAGCTAGATCGATAGCTCTCCTTTGCTGGTGCCCTGTTTGTTTTCTCCAAACCCGTGACAATAAAATTCAAAAGGGGCACCACCACTGGGCCACACATGCCCTTCAAAATCCCTCACGCAGACCGCAAATATAGTCTTTCAGCATGTTATTTTCTGTACAGTTAGTTGGAGAGACTTAGCTAGATTAGATGCCAAACAATAGCACTCCTTTGCTGGCGCCCTGTCTGTCTTCCCCAAAGCCAGGCAGTGGTACTACGTTCGCTGGTTCTACCTGTGGGGCTGCAAAATCAAAAGCGTAAGGTGCAAACTCGGGATAGATCTTGCGGCGCTTGCGCGCGGCGGCGTCGGCTGCGGCGGCCCCGTTCCCTCTTGAATGACCCCCTTGCCCTTTCATTGAGCTCCCAAATTCCGAGGTCCAAATTGCGAACGGGGTTCTCGCACATGCTTTGGATATCATCAAAATGATCACGAAGGTCATCTGTCGTCATATTTTAAATGCGAGCAGGAGTTGGCAAGCCTCGAATCAGTCCGCAGTTGATTCTCAACTCTGTCAAAGAAGGATTGCTTGCGGCAACATTGAAAAGAGACTTGGCCTCACCATTATACATAACCTTCGGAGTCTTTGCAAGATGAACTCCAGCAATGTACCATGTGTTGTTATTCTTCAACAACATGGGAGACCATGAAAAGCTTGATGTCGTGTTTACGTTGTGGAGGTAAGTGCCTGTACACGACGTGTAGCTCCCAAACTCATTGAACTTTCCGGTGTTCATGACGAGGTCTGATCCCTCGTACAAAGCACCTTCAACTGAATGCTTGCGGCCAATTACGCACAGCTCACCTTTGGCACTATCAGTGTACACTCCATGGTACGACTTGATAGCAGCAGCGGCAAAAGTGCAAGCAGGAATCGGCACGCCAATCAAGTCAGAGCCGGTCAATGACTTAACTTTCTCAGGCGAAGAGGTCGCATCATCAAGCTCAAACTCGATGGGATCTTTGTTCATCAAGTGGCGGAACAGGCCATTGAAGGCAAATCTAGCAGTAAAATCTAGTGTCTCGTTCGCGTTTTCAAGGAACACGTGATGTGCTGTCAGGAGATATGAACCATCCCTGAAGCCCATGCCATGAGCGAGCCACCCTCCATTGTTCCAAACGTATAACACACACAAACCCAAGACCTTGTAGGTTTTCCTCATACAAATCAATACTTGGGTTGCTTGTCACAATAGCTTCATTCAGGCCTCCTGACAAAAAGCTCAACGAGTCTAACGCTTGCATAGCATGAGACTGTGACGTCAGATCAAAGAAAAGCTCACTCGTTCCGTTGAGTGGAAGCTTTCCTGACGTAGGAAAGACTTGAATGCAAGGCTGATCATAATTAGGCCTGTAGAAATGCTTACGCACCTCCACGCCATCAAGGTGAATAACCTTGGTGAAAACGTAAAGATCTCCGGCAATCTTCTGCTATCGAATCTTTTCAAGCTTCTCTTTGGAATTGTTGATGAATTTGTTGGTGGTGCACTCACAAAATACATCAGAAAGTCAGTCGGACTGTCAGTCAGAACTCCTTTCAGAACTCCCGGCAATCATTTTGGACTGCCCTTCGAAGCCAACCCAGCCGACGCATCTCCAAACTGCCATAGGTTGTTGTACCAACTCCCCTGGACTGCTCTGAGAACTGAGTGTGCGCTTTGATCCTAAGTGCTGAAGCTGTGAAATCATGAGTCTGAATGCAACAGTGAATGCAACAGGCACTGCAACAAGGTTGTTGCAACAATCATGGCCACTAGCAGCCCACACTTCTATTGCAATCCAACTTGTGATACACACTGTGATTGTGTGTGTGAAGATTTTTAAGCTCGATAAAGAGTTTAGTCTTGTGGGCGAACGGTGGACCCTAAACACGCAGCAGCCAGTGGGTTGAAAAAGCTGTGAAATGTGCAATTTCCAAGCATGGAAACCGCGACAGCCGATTGCTTGAATACCGTGGAACCCCAACATTATCTAGGTTACCACGATCCTAAAGTCTCTTGATTTTGTTTTTCTGGCTGTCAACCGTGGTTTCCCGCAAAGTGTAGTTGCCAATCCTTTGAATTTGAAAACATTTTTGATTCTCATAAAGTATAGTCCAGTTTTACTACAATACAACCTGGAAACTGAAGGGTATAAAGTGTACAAACGAGAGCCAAACAAGAGTTGAGGAGACACAGCAAAATCATTTCAGCCCAGCATCCAGACATGCCATGGAGGACAAGGGGAGACGAAGGGAGACAAAGAAAAGTCATGTCAGCCCAGCATCCAGACATGCCATTGGAGACAAAAGGAAACAAAGCAAAATCATTTCAGCGAACAAAGGGAAACAAAGCAAAATCATACCAGCCCAGCATCCAGGCACACCATTGCTTCGTCTCCCTTTGTCTCCCATGGCGTGTCTGGATGTTGGGCTGAAATGATTTTGCTTTGTCTCCCCTTGTCTCCCATGGCATGTCTGGGCGCTGGGCTGAAATGATTTTGCTTTGTCTCCCTTTTCTCCATGGCATGTCTGGATGCTGGGCTGAGATCACTTTGCTTTGTCTCTCCTTGTCTCCCCTTGTCGAGATATTGATGCCGTTGAGGGCTTTAAGCACACTGGCTCAAATCCAAAGAAATGATGTGCATGTGGACAAAAATACGTAAAAATACTCTTTCGCCGGTAGGATCCATTTCCAAAGACGTGAATCCTTTTTGTGGTGCCACATACGTGAACGTCACGGGTCGGCGACCGACCAACTCGACTCGACATGGGTCAACCTACCGACTCGACGAAAACAGCACCCGGAGTCCAGTAGACTCGACTCAGGCCGTTCTTCCGTGCAACGAACATCAGCTCGGATCTCAAGGGGTTTCCATACCCAAACGCGACTAATGGGACTGCCATAGATGCCGACCAGGCCAGGGGTGGTGCCAGGGGGGTCTGGCTTGATCGGCATATATTCCAGTCCCATTCGTCGTGTCTGGGATATGATTTCATGCAAGATGGGAAGAACCGATTTGAAGCACTGCTAGCAAGATATGATTTCCAATTTTTCCCCCCAAACCGAAATGGCACTGCTTCGCCCCTGCGGGATCCTCATCCCAATCCGGCCCACCCATCGGCAGGGGTCGGACCCGACCGAAAGGCAGGGCCCAAAAGGCAGGCAGGGCACGTTAAAGGTGGAACATCCACAAGAGAGCTCAGTGAATGACTCCAGTAATCCGCCATGGCGAGGAGCCATGCTCCGTACCACCACATGTCTGACACCACCACCCAGTTCCGAAACATTTGAGAGGAGACCATGGGAGACCCCCTTTTCATCGTTCGGAATTCCACCTGGCAATGCCACCCAAGCTGGCACCAGGCGCATCAGCCTTGGTAAGCGATGGGCCCAAACACTTCACCCATTCGACTGGACACATCATGTTGGGAAACATCAATGCAACCTTGCAAACAACGCCTCTCGATGTTAATTGTTGAAACATGTTGAAAGTGATGTGTGTCTTCACTCGTGGTTGATGAAGCATGTTACACACAGTAACAACAAACAATTCCTATACTTGATCAAAACCAAGCTCAACATCCAAACTTCCTACTTATCTAAATACAGGAAAACCGCTTCCAGGGCTTAGATTGAGAACATGTTGTATTACAATCTATATGGTGGTTGTTCCCGGTAAGAAAATAAATACATGTTACATATATATATATATATATTTGTAATTGTATACATAATATACACATACATAATCATCATATACGCGTGATGAACTATGCGCAATCACACGCAAAACCAATTCTCCATTTCTTGAAGGGCATTATTCTTCGCCGCTGGATTGAAAAAGCAACAACCTGTTTGTTCCGTGTCACCGGTCTCGTTTCAATACTGTCACCCATGTCATGGAGACTATCCTGGAGTCAAAAGGATATAGTGCACAAGGTCCTTGTCAACGGTGAGTTGGTCAGGTCTACTGTCACTCCAGCCACTCCGCCGAGCCTCTGGATCTCTCCGGATCCAGCCGTTGGGAAGCTGGGCGGCGGGAGCCGCCGGGTGGTCGGGAGGCTCCTCTCCGCCACAGTCACGGGATGAATGGCCTGAAAGCCTGGTCTTCAAAGACCATTTTACCAATTGTTGACCATTTTTCTATCAAAAAAGGAAAAACAAGTAAAACAGTGGTTACGTGATGTTACGTGGTGGTTAAAAGCAGGTCAAAACCCAGTCAACCAATTGGCCACCAAGTCCAATCGCCCCACAAGGCGCGTCGTTGACCTCTTCAGTACCCAGACCATCCATGGGACTGGAATAGTTACATATTGGGTCTATCCAAGTCTACCTGGGCCCAGTGGATGATGATGGTTCAGTTGCAGGCCTTGTCCAAAAAGGATGATAATTGTTTACTGACTGTTACAGGTATTAGGACAGACCCTAGTTACATACATGCAAACCCCATTTAAGCCACCAATGTAGGTAACTATTCCACACATGGATTGCCTGGAGTAGTTGACCTTTCCCTGCTTGGTTTACGGATGGATGATGTCGTACAGCTGAGGCTTGAGGGGAGGAAATGAGGTTTGCTGATCTTTTGGTTTGTCCAGTGGTTTTGGCGTGAACATGAAAGCCGGCTGGACAAACACAAAGGGGGCTCAACAAAGTGTGAGATTGGAGAAGCCTACATAAGTGCTTGCTGACTCAGTGTCAATTTCTGCATTACACCTTCGTATATAGCCAATTCTTCACGCACGTGTTTCTCCATGTGTGGCGCGAAAAAGGTGGCCAATAGATCTTCTTCTCACGAATCAATACCAATCCCAAACGCTCCATGTATGCCATATATGGCTACATTGACCCCCCCAAACCACCCCAATGTAGGCATATATGGCATACATGGAGAGTCTGGGAATTGGACCAATCGGCTAAGGGACTTCAAATATAAAGCATGCACACGAGTCACGCGAACGTCAGTGGGTCCCTGGGATCCGGCCCTTCTTTCGGCTCCTTCTCGGCGAGGCTGGCCTGAAGTCGATCGACCGAAGATGGAGGGGTTTGAGGTTTGAAACGGCATCTAGGATTCCAAGGCCCCATGGTTTTACTAAGGTTCTTTACACTAACCAAACCGAGTCAACCATGTTTAACATGGTCGACTGGACTCTCAGGGTTCCCCAATAGCTTGATATATCTTGATAGACTGATACAGTAGGTCCCAAAGGCATGTTCAACAGACAGGCGTTTTTGATCTGCACTTGTAAGAATATGTCAGAATTATCTTTGGATGAAAGTCGCTGATCCATTACTGAATGCCCGCTGGGCAGGGTCCTGGCTAGATGTAGATGCCTCATGTCACATGGCTACGGCCTTTGGCAAATGTGCCTTTTGGGAGGCGTCCCCACCTTCCACCAGCCCTCTCCCCGTCTTCAATATCAAGCTGAGCCTGGGTGACTCACATCAATGTGCAGGCCCCAATGGTCAAATCTCCCTGTTTTCCATTGAAATGAGAGAGATAATGAGCAAACATCTTTAGGAAACACATGCGCTGCAAGATAAAGCCTGCACCCAATTTCACATGGAGGTGGACACAAACCCTCGCTAGCTCGTTGGAGGATGGGGGTTATCTACAACAGGGGTATGCACAGTAGGCAACATATTCGGGCATTGTTCGTCGGCTGAATAATCATCTGTCAGGAATTGGCACGCCAGCCCAATGTAGACTTGTGAATGCAATGCAACCCCCCATATGAAGGGTTCAGACCACGGGCACCGACCTCAAAGACAAGGGACCTGATGGACATTGGATTGACTGCTGGATCGACTCTGCTTTCGCCCCAATTCATCGTGCCCAGTGCCCCAAATCGCTAGCCAGGTGGCCGTTGATTGGACGGCTTGAACGGCCACCTGTTTCCGAAAACGGAAAAAAAGCAAGGCCAACAGAAGGCGCCTGGGTGGACATATATAATTATGCTATGCAAAGGGCAACCACTGGGATATATAATTAATTGTGCTCAGAACATGAGATCTGCCTGATCATATATGTCTTAAGCACTCACAATGTTAAACAAAAAAACTAGCTGTGGCACTATATTCTATACACATTCCATCAAATTCCCTTGTATGTGGTAAGTCCATTCACAAACGTCCTACCAGACTCAGAGTGTCCTACAAAAGTGCGACACAAGAGTGCCCTCCGCAGGGTTTGCAAGAACACAGTCCCACCCACCCAGCCCTGGTCACCCCCCCAAAAGTCCGGTCGACCCATCGATGGATCAAAAGGCAACATTGCCATAAGACCCTAGGGATCCAAGTACCGTCTCAGGTACGGTGATTGGGGACACTCTTATGTAGGTTTGGAGGGTCCAAGTACCGTACCTGAGAAGGTACGACTGGATCCCTAGGGAGACATCATAAGCCGTGAAATCAAGTCCACCTCAGCGAACTGGAAAGCAGAACACCGATGGTGCCTGAGCGGAGGGTCCCTCTCGGTTCCAGGAGGGTCCCTCTGGGATCCGGCCATTGGTCGATGCCGAGTTTCTAAGCACCAAAACGTCTCCCTATCGCTGCCTCCCCCAGGATCCACTGCCACCTTCTGAGGTACGGTGAGGAAGGAGACGATATGAGACTATTCCAGGCGCCAGGGTCCAATTACCTTCTGAGGTTCGGTATGTGGATCCGTAGGGCCCACAAGTCCCTCCCAACTTCCTTGCACTACTTGATCCCCGAACCTTCCAAACGCTGCCTCCCCGGTGCAGTCGACCCGGAACTCGTACCTCAGAAAAATGGATGCCAACACCTGTTTGATTGATGGGGTCGTGTCCGATCTCGAAGGGTCCTGGGTCAGTCGGCTCCAGCTCCACCTTCCCTTCCGACCGCGCCAAGTCGGACCCCCCGGTGTTCGGACGTTCCGACCCCCTCCGGGCCAACCGACCGCGCCTGCATGTCAGCGCGACTGCTGGCGGCGCTTAAGACCTTGTTCACCAAGATCTGCAGGGCGAGTGGGCGAGGCGTGGCATGGCGCCGCGCCGAACGGCCACGGCGGCCACGAGGGGTTCTTCGTTGGATCGGCGGACGCCCTCCACTCGGACGACCGCCGGTGGAACCACTGGTGGGTTCGACACCTTTTTGTTTTTTGGGCAGGTCTGTCCCTTTCTGAAGCAAGCATGCTGCTCATTATATGATGTGGCTCTTCATTCTTGGGGTCATACATGGTCATAACCCAAGCACTCCATGCAACACGTGCCATGACATGGACCGGACCGTGAAAACACATCCCAACACCACGTGCACTCCATGAGACCGCACATCTTCCCATCGGTTGTGACCCATGGAGCCCCTTTTGAGGTTCGAACCCGTGCCGGCGCGAAGCTTGTCCAACGAGTCGAGGGTTGTTTTTTCTGGGTACCCGGAGGTCTGGTGTACTTGGCACCTGAGTACCTGGAGTCGGAGCTTGGAACGGACTGTCAGTCGTACCTGTTGGAGTCAGACGTCTCATAATATCGCTGGGTCAGTCGGGTCCAGACCCAGATAGGTCGACTGATACTCAACAAGAAGTCCGATGCAAGTCTCTGAGTTCTTCATAGTTCTTCCATGTTCTTCCAGTCCCAGTCCAGGTTAAGTGACCTGAATTAGGACCCGTCACCAGGGGTACCGAACTAGGATAGTCGATTTGGGGTTCTGAAAACCATGTCCTTCCAGTGGTTTCTTTGGAGTTCCCGGGGGTGCAATGTTGACTTAGCCTACTTCTACTGGAGAAACCTCCAGCAGTAGAGAGAACGCTGAACGGATTGTGTCATGGCCATAGGGAACCACAGCTGTCACAGCTGCCAAACCGCCCACACCAAAGAGCCTTACGCCAGCAAAGGTTGAAGAACCCTAGTTCGACTATGCTATAGGTACCCCTGGTGACGGGTCCTAGTTCAGGTCACTTAACCTCTGTTGGCGCATTAGACAGTGTTTTTTCTGTCTTGTCTTCCCCTTGCCGTTGTGCCTCGCCTGGCTTTCACGGCTTTGTTGCAAAGGGCTAGTCGCCCCCTCAGGAACAAGCACTTGTCAATGGTGACATGGGACAGGTTCCATCACTTGGTCTTTTGTTCACCTATTCATTCTTGTATAGGACACTTATCCATCGTATCCCTCCAAAATGCTTTCCAGGTCAAGCACTGTTCTTGTTTCACTGGCGTGCTTCAAGTAGCGGATGCCGCCGGATCATCCGAATGGATCTCCGAGGAACGAAGGGATTGGCATATTTACCGACATTGACTCCAAATCAACCACCCCAATGTATTGCCAATGTATACAAAAATGATATACAGTCTTGCAGTTCCATGGAGTGTCTGGGATAGTTGCTCACAGCCGGCAACCAGCTGTTTTGGAGAAGCGCTTTCAGCGGGTGGCCGCCATCGACACCCAAAAGATTTTCCAACAAGGTGTTCCAGACATGGAATGGCGCGGCTCAAGTTCTGCGACTTTGGTAAGAAGCCCCCAAATGCCCAAATTGCAAACATGCTAGAGAACAATTGGCTGCTCCATGATGGCGGCAAAGATTCTGTGGATGCATGTTTGTTCGAAATTCTATCTGCATGTTCCAGGAGCCTCTTCATATATTTGGCAAAGAAATGCACACTTTACCGACCCAAGCAAGGGCAAGCAAAGCTGGATCGACCAAACCTTTGCTTACAGTGATTCAAATTCATTGAACATCCAAAGCCAACCTCGTGTTCAACGACCCCCTTTTCTTCCAGTGAAGACGCCTATGTCACATGACGTTCGGAAATCAGCCACCCCAATCAACTTCTTTCACATTACCCACCAGCGTCATGCTTTCGTCCTCCTTTCCCAGTCGGTCTTCTCATGTTTATTCGCCCAGACGCCGAGGGTGGTGCCTGGGAATCAGGGCGGTGGATTCCATAACCCCATCGGGTCCGTCCCAGACATGGACTGGAGAGGGGGCGGATGCAAGATGCCGATGTGATCGAAGGTCCGGAGAATCATCGATTTCTTGCTGTATGATCCTTTGGGCTATATAACAGGGAAGCAGTGAATATAGAATGATATAGAACTGCATAGCCATAAGCCATCATAAGCCACACTACTTGATGGAAAATGGGACATCTTCGACCTGCCTGTCACCCAGGTATTTCAAACCAGTCAGTTGTGGGGACCTGACATGAATGAAAGGCCATGTGTGGCGACGTTCTTCAGACCCACCGACCAATTCGGCGTGACGTCGGGCGGACCTGGTAGCTGCCCAAGGAGGCCAAACTGGCCATACTTTGTCGAGGGCTGATGCTTTCGGCCTCCCCGTGGTGCGAGGGAACCGAGGACGAACACACCGCGGGAGGAGTGGTGGCTTGAAGAAACCGTGGGAGTGGTGGGGAACAGTCCAAGGCGTTGATGGAGGATGAAGGCCGGTCCAAATACCTTCTCATCATGCAGCTGATTGAAGACAGTGTTATGTAGGTTTGAGGGTCCAAGTACCTTGGATCCCTACCCTAGGGATCGAGATACAACTATGCCACACACCACCACCTTCCAACAGCTCTCAACAAAGAAGGCTTTTCGGAGACTTCAAAGTGGGTGGCGACCTGTATAGATGGATGATGGATGACCTTCCAATCATCAACCACCCCGCCCCCTGCCCCAAAAAACACCCAAACACATCAGCTGCTTCCAAAGGGTCACCAACGGACAACCCTACCCTAACACTTAGTTCTAGCACTCCATTGGACGATGCTTTCCATTCCTCGTGATCACGCAGTCCGAGCCCTCACTCTCTCCGCGACCTCCTTCCATCGCCGGGTGCGACGCTTCGACCCAACCGGCGCCCCAAGCGCCGGCGCCGCGCCGCTTCGACCGGCGCTCTCGCTCTCGCTTCGCTCCACCGCCTGAGCTCCCGGAGCGCTTCCATCGGGGATGATTTCCTCGGATGGCCGGACGATCGAACCGGAGGTCTTCCGGTGGGCTGGTGTGCCACATGTCCGCCTAAACCCTTTGCCTAGTTGGAAGATACCTTTGGAAGATCTATTTCTGCCTATAATGTGCTTCTGTACGCCATGGAGAAGATCGCATCGGGGGTCGAACATCGTCGAACCACCCACACGACGACGTGAGAATCTTCCAGCTTCCCCGGGGTCCCGGGGTCCTCGTGGACATGGTGCTTCATGTTTCGTATCCGACCCAAATCACCAAGGAAAACAGGCGCTCTAATGAGGTATCTGCGGATTGTTTGTTGCAAATCGGAGAGTCAAGTGTAACGATGACGGTGTTTTTCTGTACGTAGTAGTCATATGTTGAAGCTACCTCGGTCATATCATGTCATATCTGGATATTGTATGATATTACATCTTACCAGTGGTCATGTCACTTGAGAACTATGAGCACTATATAAAAATTAAAGTCTTATGAAATTCAAAGCCTTAGATGTGTATGCTTTTGGGAGCAGCTGTAGCTAAAGAATGATGGCCCCCCCATGTGGAATCCTCGGGTGTAGGCCTTCACCTCTTCTAAGAGAGGTTTTAGACATCTCATGGTGCATGCAACTCTTCCAAACGTTGGCACCCTCTGGGGACTGTTCTAGTGTTTTGTCCCTAGGTCTCCTACCTTCTCAAAAGTTGCTTAGACCCTCCAGTCCAGTCCCACCATCAAAAACGTCTTTGGAGCCCCTTTAGGAATGCTATGTTGGGCATATCATATCCCATTCCCAGGGCCCAGTGGGGATGATGATGATGATGATGATGATGATGAGGACGACGACGGCGACGACGACGATGATGATGATGGTTCGGTTTTCCTCTTCAAATGGTGATGTTTTTGCTTCCTGACAGCTCAAGTCTATACAGGTAGTGGGCCACACCTGTACCGCTGCCAAAAACACACAAAGCCGCCGCACACCCCCCGTTTCGTCGGCCGCCGTTTCCACCGCTGCGGCCATTGGACCACCTCTGGGGTCGACATTTGAACTCGTCTCCGTGGTGAGGCATCTGCCTGGAGACGTGGAGAGGCTGAGCGCCCGGAGCGCCGGGTCAACTGTTGATCTGACCTGCCACTGTGAATGTGAAGCGCCACTGATGGCATCTGGGCAAAAGTAAAGTTAAAATTGATCGTTAACTACTGAGGCTTCGTTTTTGGGTTTTCCGGCGTCGTTTTCCAAGGAAGTGCACCAGTTGGGCTACGACTATGCACTGTTCAGCGCTGTTTGTTCACCAGGTGAAGTACAGCACAGGAACTTCTTACAGTACGGGGCATTCGGGGCAGGGTCTACAAAGGACACTTTTTTGTGGATTTTGGCATCGTTTGGAGACACCACATTTCATGCACTCCAAGAGGATACACATGCAAACATCCCACCAAGAGGCTTCGTTTTTGTTTTTCCGGCTTCGTTTTCCAAGGAATGTGCAAATTCTGCAAGATCCCACCAATCACGAACAATTTGCTGCAAAACCTGACCGCTCTATATATATGATTTTGACTGTGGCTCTGCTTTTCTGTCAATACATCGCCGCCTGGCACGTCAACACGCCTGCCGCCTGCCCTGAAATCAATCCAACTGGACGACCGGAACCCGGCCGGGCACCTCCTGTAGTGAGCTCAGCGTTTGCGAGCGTCGAGGGGAGAACTCCTAGAGCCCGCTGCGGTGCGTGTGCTGACGTCGAGGCGGGAGCAACGTGGTAGACTAGAAGGCTGCTTTTGGAAGCATGAACGGCAATTCCAGTCCTGAACGCTTTCATTGCAGCTCACATGGAAGCTGCCGAAAGGCCGGCGGAGTAATGGTGGACGCTGATTAGCAATAGGGCCCTCGACAATGCTAACTTTTTGAAAAATAATTCTTGACACCCTGTTTGTTTTAGGGGTCCTCTATTATGCTATTTTTTTGGGGGGGGATCCTACTTTTTCGTTATCTAAGAAATGTACTCCATGTACCGGACCCAATTATACATTTGCCGCGTGAACATCACCCCTGAAAGGTTAACCTTTGTCCATCTGTTCATATAGTAGGGTGTCCCCAATCGCCCAATAAGGCTTTGCAGGTTCTTTGGATAGGACAAGTCGAACGACGCTTCGGGTCCGTCCTGGGACTTGGACATCTGAAGCCGCCGTGGCGAGCCATCTGCCTTCGGGTTGGGTCAGGTCGACTGTCATCTTCCAGCTCTGATCCCCAAGCCGCCCTAGAGAAAAGAAAGGCCAAACAAATTCATGTCCACCTGTTGGATTTGATTTCCCTCCGCCAAAAGTAGGTTGTCAACTCTAAACTTTTGTGGGTAACTTTTCAGAGTTTTTACACCTTTCTTCGCACGTTTGGAGTGCAAGCTCGAAGCTAACGGTGTCCAGAAAACCCTCGGGTTGTCCGGTGGAGTTCTTCAAAAGCCGGTCATCTCGGTTTTCGGGGGCGAAACAACCACACCGCTGAGTCACGAGTACGGAGGTGGGTTGAATCCGAAGAAACGCCTTACACGAGACGGGGCCCGTGATGTCGCATGATCCCGTGTCTTCGGTGTCTTCGGTGTCTTCGGTGCGCGAAACGTGCTGTGAGGCTCTAGGGGGTGCAACGGTGTCTAGCGTTTGCCTAACTGAAAGCCAGGATCGTTGGACAGCACCAAACATGTTTCATTGCGTGATTTACATTTATTACTCTACTGTACAGAAAATACATGTGTGTCCAAATCACCTCCGGAAATCCCTTCTGCAATCCTTCTGCCACCACTCCAACAAAAGAAACTCAAAACACCACACTGACTCTTCAGCACCTCCATTCGAGGGGACTCGACCTGTCAGCGGAGGCGCAGCCCTTGACAAAGAGAATTCTGTGGAACTCCGGGAGGGTTAATTCATGGAAGATCACTCAATGGGGATGGCAGGCAGTACATGCCGACCGTCTCGAAAGAAAGCATCTTAGGAAACTGCTTTCTGCCTGTCAGAAGGAACCTATTGACAACCTGCTTCATCTGAAAGATGCTGGGCAGGGGAACTTAACTAAAGCACCAAGAGGCACACGGCACACTGCTATTCATTTGGCTTCGACACGCCCACACCGGAAAGTCCAGCTACCCAGACGCTCCCCCTTCGGTGGGGTTTGAGTCCTGCATCCGTGAAGCGGTTACCATCTAAAACTTTCCAACCACATCCAGGAGATTGCTAAAGCAAAGAGAAATTCAGCTAGCGCGCTAGCTTTTGTGATTTTGATCGAGACCAGGTTCATTCGATTCATTTACTAGGCGCAAAACATAGATGACGTTGCTGGGCCGGAGTTGAGACCCTGCCTCATGTTTTCCTGAAGCAAGCGAGCAAGGGATGTCCATCAGAATGCTTGACGCAAGACCTTGGGATGAGAAAGTCCATCTGCAACTCGTGCCTAATCTTGACCACTCCCATCTTCTGCCCACAAACAGTTTGAGCAGCGTTCATTCATTTTGTCATATCATGTGCCGCGCTGAGTGTGTTTATTTGTTCCTTCTGCATCTTCTACCTCCAATATGTTATTGTGACAGGTCAAATCGCGGGCGGACATTACATGTGCGGCTCCTCTAATATAAAAAATAAACACCCTCCCGGCCCCTTCGTTTCCAGTTCTCATTACTGTAGTTCTTACCGCTTGACGCTTCCCATCTGGTCGTTTTGAAGGACCTTTACAGGATTCTAAAGCAAATAGGCAAATTTGCGCGGCAGCTACTTGCTATGGTTTGGATGAGCCAACATCACTAAGCTCACTCCCGGCTCTGACGTTTCTGAAGCACACCTATTCACACAACCCTCACACCCCGCTGCTAGTGGACAACCACAACAACTGACAATTGAATCCACAGTCCATCCACCTCCCTCAAAAAATGACCCAAATACAAGGAATAAATCCCAACAGCCACCACCCGTTGTTCCTCGCTAGTCCCCACTGCCCCACGTCTGGGAGGTCTTCGCGACGACGGCGGCCGTCCGAGGTGACGAGGGCGGCCTTGGAGGGTAAGGGCGCCGTCATCATGTGCATCAACCGCCGCGGCGAGCCCACACCACCGGCCTGAACGGCCTCCGAACCGCGCGGAGGGTAGGAGGGTGGACCGGAGGACCATGGATCCCAGCAGGGTACCCCAGAGGTGCGGGCTGGTTGGACTGGACTGGGACTGGGCTCCTGTGGCCTATCCAACCACTTGACGACTTGGGACGGAGCCCGAACCGGGCCTAGGGGTAGTTGGAAGTTCTTCATCTGTTGATCTCACTCCTGATATCACTCCTGTTTCGGATGCACACCTTTCGTGGCCCTCAGGATTGCAGTCTGGGGCCGCCGGGCCGCCCCAGAAATCGTGACATCATGCTTTTTAGCAGCTTACAATGGCGAGGATGCACTTCTGCGACTAACCGCTTGTCAGCAAGCAGGAAACAAGCAACACTGGCACAGAGTTCCCTTGACCTCCTGCTGCTTTCCCTAGCAACCCGCAATGGGCCCTCCAAGCCTGGTCCAAGCCTACATGAATAGTCTCCAATGACCTTCTCAGAAGGTACAGTATGTGGCTCCATAGGGCTATTTAAGAACCTTTATCGAACAATCATTTACTGAGGATTGTGCACACGCACTACAAAGCTGGGTCAACCTTTCTTTTACTACAGTGGTCTTGGAAAAACATGACTAGTAAGTTGATTCGCATAGCTTGGAGGTATAAAACACACATGAACCAATAACCCTCCATCCCACGTTGCTTTGCTGGAATCTCTGCTGGCGTAACCTCTCCAGCGCTCTCAACATCCGGTGCTTACTGTACCAGGATAGCTTTGGGGGGTCAGGAGTCGCGCGTGGGTGAGTTGGATTTGCTTCGCTGCTTGAGGTGTTTGTGCAAACATATCAAACAGTCCAGCAGTCACAGTCAACGGGGTGCCGGTTCCGAACCGTTCGGAAGGAGTACCGTCGGTGCCCGAACGTCACATCCACTGGATGGCAACCCATATGTGACTCCGAGGTCTTAAACCCATGTGTTCTTCTACCCCAAGGAATCCACCACATGCCTTCAGAAGGTGATTGGATGTGATTGGGCCCTCCAAACCTACATCAATAGTTTCGGATCACCGTACCTCAGAAGGCATGTGGATCCATAGGGTAGGATTCCTTCTCTGCAGCTTGCTTTGGGCCCCTTCCCTTCTCGCCACCGGCTCCCGCAACTCCCACGAGGCCTCTGCTTGGGCTACCTGCCGGAGGATTTTCAAGAGCTACCAGGAGTTCCATTGAGGTGTCACTTTCGGGGGACCTCCTCCTTTGCGGTCGATGCACCTCCCCGGCACGGTCGGCGGTGAACCATCCGCATCAGTCCATCAGTCCAGCGCGCTCATCCAAACAATCCGAGGCTCCCGAACAAAGTTCGTGCCATCTCGAGTCATCCCAAGTCCGCTTCAAAGGTCGTGCCAAATCAGTCCTATATCAACCTCCACCCACAAACAGGCCAGGCACAATCCAGTCTGAGGTGGCGAGACTCCGGATGTGAGATCAAGACCCGATCTCTCAACCATCTGGAGGCTCGAGCCAAGATTCACACTACGAAACAAACCCTTCACACACCTCAAAACAAGAGCCTGTCGGTCTGGCCACTGAACATGTGGTCAACCTGTCGGACGTATTGCCCCTCTGAATCTTTGCAGCGCTGACACAGCATGCTTTTTGGGGACAACCATTTGGGGTTTGGAGGGTCGATGTATGTCGAAGTACCTTCAGAGAAGTACCTTTTGGGGGGGCAGTTGCAAGGGGCAGCGGAGAAGTGACAATTGTCCAGGAAACAATGTGGCTATTCCAACCCCAAGGCCCCAAGGCCCCAAGCCCGTGCTCGTGGGCCAGGGGTCTCGTTGGGGGTGTTTTGCCTTGACAGCAAATTGATTGCGAAACGCCAGGGGCCATTCCGTCCTCCTAGAACCTCTTACTCCACACTCTGGTGTTTGCATTGGTGATTGTGCAGTGTAATGTTTGTACCTAAACTTGAAACAACTCTACTTGCCCGCCCCTTGGCTAGCTTTGACTTATAACCTAGGTTATA